GTTTTGCATGATCTTCGAAGGATGTACGCCGAAATTGAGCTCAAGGTTTCTGACCCTGTTGTTAGATTCTGTGAAACGGTCGTAGAAACTTCGGCATTAAAATGCTTTGCAGAAACTCCAAATAAAAAGTAAGTGGTTTATTTTATCATTTTGTAATGACGCTCATTAACCCTATTTAATATAGAAATAAGTTGACCATGATAGCCGAGCCTTTAGAGAAAGGCATTGCTGAAGATATTGAAGCTGGTAAAGTGAACATCAAGTGGCCAGTAAAAGATATTGCAAAAATATTTGAAGAGAAATACGCGTGGGATCCCTTGGCGTCACGATCAATATGGGCGTTTGGACCTGATGAAAATGGACCAAATATCTTGATCGATGATACTTTACCCACTGAGGTCGAAAAAAAATTATTATTATTTTCTTTTTTTTAAATATATCAAAAACAGAGCGAGTTTAAATAACTTCATTGTTCTTCCTATCATATCAGGTCGACAAAAATTTATTAAGTAGTATTAGGGATTCAATACGCCAAGGTTTTCAATGGGGTACACGTGAAGGACCATTATGCGATGAACGTGGGTTCTTTCATTATATGTGCTTTCCATAAAATTAAACATATCTCAATAATTTATTGTCTTTTAGCCATACGCAACGTAAAGTTTAGGATATTGGACTCTGTCGTAGCACCAGAACCAATATATCGAGGTGGCGGTCAGATAATTCCCACTGCACGACGCGTTTGTTATTCTTCATTTCTTGCGGTAAATTTTTTTGATTTTTAGTCAAACTACCCTTTCCAATTTGTTAAACATTATCTAACTTTCATTTTATCCTTCAAAATAGGCTACACCCAGATTGATGGAACCTGTGTATTATGTTGAAATTCAAGCACCAGCTGACTGTGTGTCAGCCGTATATACAGTTTTGGCACGACGCAGGTAGTTATAAATAGAACCTATTAAACTTTTTTTAAATTGAAGATTCAATTAACAATTTGTTTCAGAGGACATGTAACTCAAGATATACCCAAAGCCGGATCGCCATTGTATACAGTCAAGGCTTACATTCCTGTTATAGAAGCAAATGGCTTTGAGACGGACATGAGAACTCATACACAAGGACAAGCGTTCTGTCAACAGATATTTGATCATTGGCAGGTACGATCCTCCGTTGCATTTCAAATTTGATAAGCAAATCATTGAATCCTGTTAAATGTGTGCAGATCGTCCCTGGTGATCCATTGGATAAAAGTATAGTTCTTCGCCCCTTAGAACCCAGTCCAGCTCAACATTTAGCGAGAGATTTTATGGTCAAGACCCGAAGAAGAAAAGGATTATCCGAGGATGTCTCAGTCAATAAGGTATGCAAAGACTGAATTCACCACATAATGATGATCAACTAAACGTTAACTTGAACGAATCATCAAATCTAGTTTTTCGATGATCCATTGTTGTTGGCTATCGCACAATCAGACGTTCTGGGAGGATATACACTTTCTTAAAATTCTTAATCCAGATGATATCAGTATGACTTGATGGGTAAAGGTGACGGCAAGGAGATGCAAAAAAAATGCAGCAAGGAATTCAATTTAAATAGATTTATGCCACGTAAAATAAAGTTGTTTTGTTAGCATTTGTTAAGCATGCTTTCCTCTTAAATGCACTAATGTAATTATTAAATAAAGATACACTGATTTTGTATTAATATTAAAAAGTGAAACATTTTGATGTAAAAACAAAAATCTTGATAAATTGACTTTAAAAATATAGTTATGAATAAGCATGATAACTCAGTTTTATGCAAAAATTAAGTTTTGATAAATACAGTATTGGTCATAAGTTACCCTTTTTAAAAATTCAAATCCAATTCAATTGTTTAGGACAAATAGTTTATCACAATTCTTGATCCTCTAAATTTTTTCGGATTTTTATAATTCCTAGAATAAAATTTAGATAAGAATCAAATTGTTTTAGGAATCACAAAAATCCGAAAAAATTGGAGGATCAAGAATTGTGATAAACTATTCGTCCTAACTTTTTTAAAACAATTAGATTGAATTTATATATATATGTGTTATATATATTATTATTCCACAACTGTAATAGAATATTAAATTAAGGTTTTAAAGAAATTATATATTGTTAACATGTTAGTCACCCTGGATGTGATACTGCAGGCAATTGCTTTTCAAAAAAGATATATAAATTTGATCCAAATTTTATAAAAATAATATAAATCAATCTATTAATCTTGTATTCAAATAGTTTCTGACTATATAGCAATTTTTATTATATAATATTGAAAGCAGAATAATAGTATAAATAGTTATTAATTAAATATGTAAGTTGTTTGATAATTATACAATAGATATTAAAAATCTTCTTCAATTTTATTATTCTTATATGCTTTATATTTTTTTATTATATAATTTTTATATCTAATATATCTTTTATATCTGATATATTTATTATTATTATTTTTATTATTTTTGCCTATTGGTATAAATTTTTATTCAACTTTTTAAGAAATTTATATAAGATTTTACAAAAAAATATATGTTATAAATCTAATTACGTATTAGGATTAATTTAAAAGTAAATTTATTATAATTAATTAAAAATAATATAATATTAATTTCTATTATATAACTTATTATTATTTTAAATTAAAATTCAAATCCTAAATTATTTTTTTAAGAAAAAATATAATATAATATAATTATCAATTTGCTAAAATCTATCTATCAAGTTCTTTATACTATTTAATATAAAAAAACTTAATAAACAATTTTTTAATTTTTTAGCAAATATAAAAAATTTTTTGTAAAGAAAAATAAATATTATTTAATATAATAAATATTATTTATATATTATAAAAAATCTCTAAAATCTACAATCAATAATTTATATATATATATTAGAAAAAATCACTTAAAACTTGTCTATATACTAGTTATGTTTATTATATAGTGAAAATCATAAGTTGTCAACCCACCCTTTAAAAATTCAAATCTAATCCAAATGTTTTAAAAATATTAAAACAAATAGTTTATCACAATTCTTGATTCTCTAATTTTTTTCAAGTTTTTGTAATTGCTAGAACAAAATTTAGATGAGAGTCAAATTTTTGAGATTATTTTTTAA